CAAAATCCCCACAAAAACCTTAGTACTTAAAACAACCATTATTTTAACACTCGATGAACATCATTTTAAGCAGCTCTACTTATATCATAAATATACATATAAGAATTTATAGTTAGAAAGATGAAAAGATTGAAGAGAATAGAGTGATAATTTTATAAAAACCGATTTATGTTCTTTTTTTAAAGTTATATATTTATTTACCCAATTTAACAAAAAATTGAAATGAAATTAAAGGAGATTGTACATTTCAGATAAGTACTTTTTTACCACAAAAATATTAAATTGCCTTTTTGTAGACAACAACAACAACAACAACAACAAAACAACAATGGAGTATTGGCAATTTTATAGGGTCCAACCTGTAGTTTTTAAAAGTTAAGGAAAAGGTAAAGAGAAACAGTAAGCAACTGAGGCCATTTAAAACTATATGATTTTGTTTTAGACAGTAATAATTAGATCCCTATAATAAAAGATGAGAACTAATTTATTTCTTACTTTTTTAACCACGTGTCATTATAGAATACATTCCTGTTACAGTGCTGTTATTTTTTTGTTTGTTTTTTCAAGGTTTCTATTTATTTCTTAATGAAAATTCATATAGATTAAATAATCAATACCAACATTTTTACTATGACTTCACAATTTTAAGCTTTTTAAGAAATTCTTCTCTGGAATCAAAATAATGATTGTGGCATTCTTGAGAATGTCTATGTTTTGTCGTTATGGTCGATTGGCAAATTAGCTAGATTAATTTAGTGGATCACAATTCTTTTCCTTTGCACTTAGCAGATATTTCTCCACTGTCTTCTGTCCCTGAATATGGTGCTAGCTAGTGCCTTAGCACAGGTTTTCCATTTAGCTTTTGTTTAGTTGAATTTGATTTTCAAATGCTTTTTTTCCCCCCACATAGGGCTCATGGTAACTCTATTACTTGAGTTCTTTCATGTTTGAGAATGCCTTCTCCCTTTATATTTGAATGGTAAGTTGTCTGATGGTAATTTCCTTGGGTCATTTCCCTCTTAAACCTTGTACATACTGATTCATTGTTTTATGGATCTGAATTCTGCTCTGAAGAAGTTTGAGGTTACCTTGATTTTTTTTACTTTACCCTCTTTCTTGTATGTGTCAGGCTTCTTTCCTCACTGGATGTTTGAAAAAAAATTTCATTTCTTTGAAATTCAGTAACTGGATTAGAATTGTGTTTCAGTTTCAATAATTCAACATTTCTTAGAACACAGGGTTCTCTGTTTGCAAAATAAGTTCCTCTTTATTTTCAGATAAATTTTCTGCTATTATATATTTAAATTGCTTTTCTGTTCCATTTGATTTTCTCTTGCTGAGAAACCTATTTTGTTTATGTTGGATCTTCTTTGTACAATGCTTTTACTTATATTTTCTTCAACTATTTATCCAGTTTTTATTTTCCTTTGAATTTACTGGGATTCTCTCAAGCATGTCTTATATGTCAAAATCTCAATTTTCAGCTGGTTTTAGTTTATTCTTTATTGATTGACTCAATAAATTAGCTCTCTAGATGTATTGCTTTGACTTTCTTTGGTAATTTTTTACTTTGATATAATTTCAAACTTACAGAAAATTTGCAAGAATGCAAAAATGGTACAAGGAACTTCTGTATATGCTTTACCCAGTTTACCACCTATTTGTCTTTTGCCCTACTTGAATATATGTATACACACACAGAACACTTTTTTTCTGAGCCATTTGAGAGGAAGCTATAAACATCATGACTTTTTAACAATAAAAAAAATGTGCATTTTCCACAAATAAGGACATTCTCTTACACAATCACAGTATAATGATCAAATTAGGAAATTTAACATTGATAATAATATGATTCTCTAATTCACAATTTATATCTAATTTTTAAAAATTATCTCATTATAGCTTGTGTTTTTCTGGTACAGAATTTAATACAGAAACAGGTTAGCATTTAATTTTTTCCTATATAATGTCTGATATGTTGTCTGATCTTTGAGATTGATTTTACTCTTTTTAAGAAATGTTTGTATTATTTCTTTTGTAACCCACGGACTTATGAAGAATTTTCTTACAGTCTTTATTTGTTTTCTACCAGACTGGTCTTTCATTTAATCATTCTTGGCATGCTTTGGATTCTTGGATTCTGGTTTGTTTGTTTGCATAGCTAGTAACATCATTTCCTTGTATCTTACTTACTCATACTTATTGTGGGTGCCTTTGCTCATATCCTCTGTCTTTTCTGATATAAGGAGGCTACATCCTCCCTGGAATGCTTTCAACCTGTACTGAGATCTGTCAGTCTTCTCTCTGGAGCTACATTTGTGGGTTAGGTATTGTACTCTTCTGTAGCCTGCTAATTCAAAGGCATGGAGAAGGTAGAAAGACTATGGAGCTCAGCCTCCTTTGTTGGAGGATCTGGGCTTTCTCGTCTTTTTCTGGATTTTATTAAATGGCAAACTTTCTTGAACCTAGTTTCAAGTGTGTTCTGTCCTTGTGGGGACACCTGCAGGTTTGCAATTTTCTTGCATCTGCTAAGATCTTACGGTGAGTATTTTAGGGGCTTTAAAAAATATTTCAAATGTTTTCTCCTTACTTCTCCTTCACCTACTTTTCTACAAATTGGTGTGGTATTGGTGAGACTTGTCGGTACTGACTCTCCTTTTCCTATTACTAGTTTGGTATGCATATTGGGCAGGAACTGGGGAGAGGGTAGACAGTAGCACCCAGCTACACCTCAGTGAATCTTCTGTGTAATTTTTTGGTTGTCCCTTGTCTAAGTTTATTATGTGAACTGTATCCCTTTCTTTGATTCCTCTTATGATTTTATTATATTTTTATTTTTCTGTTTTTTCTATTCATTTTGTGGGAGGTTGTGGGAAGAGAGTTTATGATCTGTCTTTACCCATCTACCATTTGTTTGCTTTACTCTAAATTACTAAAAATTACATGTAAATATCTTTGGAGTTAATTCTCACGCTAAAAATAAATTCTAAAATGAAGCATGGATCTAAAATGATAACCATACAGTTATCATTTTAATCAGAAAATGAAGGGTTTCTTACTCTGATGTTTCATTATTTATAAATGAAATATAGTACTTACAAACAGTAGTCTTTTTGTAGGTTTGTTTCTAACCACTGAGCTTTTTCTTTGCCTTTACCACTTTTATTCTTACATGCTTCATTTTCACCCTGTGTCTCTCATTTTCTCATACACCAACACCAGTATTTTCACCAGAATACATAACTTTTCATATATAATAGCAAGCACACACTGCGTAGTCCATGAACTGCCAGAGCTTTTCTGCTGGTCCAGGAGCAGAAGGCAGTCATTCACACACACTTGACTCAGAAACGGCTCTCTTTCTTTTTGGGAAGATTGGCTTTGAATGAGTGCACAGCTTTGAGACACTTACCTGAAGCTGAGGAAGGAAGAGGACAGCACATCAGCTCAATCACCCCAAACGTCAGTGAGGTGACAGATGCTGTAGTGAAATCAGGCCGTATTCTAGAAAATTCACTGATTCTGCACAAGGCTTTTATATTCTGTTTAGCGTCAACGAGCAGAAAAATTCCACCCACATTTCGTTATTTATGATGCAATCTGGAAAAACTCTTCATGAGATTCGGTCTCATACAGACACAGTTACACAGTTCGACTCTTATACAAATGTAAATGTGTTCACATCCCTGTGAAAGCTGCATTTTTGTGAGCAGCAAACCTTCTGGCTCGTTTTTTGTTAACTCTAGGATGCATCCACTTCCTCTAAGTGTTATGGAAAATAACCTTGCCAAGGAGCTGAGAGAAGAAAAAGTAGAAAATAACTACATTAAGTAAAATGTTTCTCCTTTGATTCAGATTGCTGTGGCTGATATTAGAGCCATTTCAGAAGTAGGCAAGGTGGACACAGCAGGGAATGTGTGTGTGCAGACACAGCTTACTGCTGAATCAGGACAGATGGGGCAACAGAGCAGAGTGGTCGAAAGCCAGGCTCTGGGGTGGGACGTCATGATGGGGGAGGACTAGTTTTGAAACAAAATCACCACTTGCTAGCTTTGTGACACTGGGAAAATTATTTTTTTAATTTTACTTTACATCGGTTATATGTATGAAAGATGGGTATAATAATAGGCCCTATAATAAAATTGTCCAATGATTGAATTCAAGTATGTATTATATTATAGTTATGAAAATTTATTTCTCTCTACAATAAGAAATTTGGATGTCATTTTAAGAGCCCTGGCAAGCCATTGAGGGTTTGAAGCAAGGAGGCGCGTACACACACACACACAATCAGCAGTGCCTAGCATGTAATAAGTCCTGAAAAGACTCTTATGTAAGGAACCAGTGGGTGGTGCTTTCTGCATATAGTAAGGATCTCTTGGCACGTCTAATTTTTGTCAAAAACATCTAAAAGTTGTTTTCATTCTCAATCTGTTTTCTTCTAGATCACTTGGAGGATTATAGTTAACAGTGTCTTATGCCATATTATTATTCCCTCCACAAATGTCTTTATAAATAACACTATAGTCATTTACTTAATAAGCTCAACATATCAGAATAACATGTCAGTTTTTACATGTTGATATAACCTGAAGAAATTTGGAAAATATCAGAAGACATGCATTATTAGAAAGTATCAGTAAAGCATGTACCTTTTTAGTAGTTAAAAGTGATTCATTTGTTTCAAACTCATTCTGATTTATGAATTAAGAGTTTTTGTGGTCCTTAAATTCCCATGACAATTTTCTGTTTGTATAAGTTCAAAGTAGTTAACTAAGCCAAACAATTAAAGAAAGTACTTTTTCTTAAACAAGAAAGTAAAAACGTACTAGCAGATGTAGCCAACTGTCTGTGAAGTAACGTAGTGAATCAGCGGCTTCCTAAGTAATTGGAGGCTCCGTTCATTGGTTGACCATCAAGTAAGATATTAAATTGTAGAAGGTCTACTTGGGATTTATAGTTAGCAAATTAACTAGATAACCCTTGTAAAGACAATCAGATTATTATGGGTACAATGATAATATTTTTGCTTTAGGGCATCTTTGAATTTCAGAATAAAATTGAGTGCTATATACAAAGTGAAAGTCAATGTATTAAAAAAATTCTGATAAAAGAATATGAAACCATTCAATGAGTAATAATAATTGCTTTTCATTTTTATATGTAGTGTCGCGCCATTTGATCTTCATAGCTACTCTTGGAAGTGGGTGGGACAGGCACTATTTTAAATGACCCTTTGTGGATACAGTAACTGAGGGTATGGCTGATGTGACTGCCTATGGTCCCTCCCTGGGTGTTTAGGAGCCCAGGCACAAACCCAGGCACGTCTGCACTGCATTCCTTTGTCTTATCACCATATCACAATGCCACTTAAATAATTTGAAACCTTAACTTCAAATCAATATTGTGACCACTCAAGAAGAGGGTGTGGGCAGAATGAAGGTAAAAGGAAGAAGGTATGGAGGGATAAACAAGGCAAGATACAGTGGCAGAGAGGAAGAGAGATGGAGGGAAAGGAAAACAGGAGGCTGCAGAGCTGGGAACGGGGTTACAGGTTACAGGGAGAGTGTCCTCATTGTCTTACCATCCTAAACGTTGGATGTTGTTTGTAGGTGTCACTGTTGGGGCTGATTGGAGTTCGGTGTCACCCCAACGGCAGCGGGGGAGGATGAGGGATAATGATGGTGCAGACCAGTAATTAGCATTTTTCCTCGGTTCTTCCTCAGATGATGCAATGAAGAATCACAGATCATTGAAATTGAATAGTTTTATTGAAAATATATTTTAGAAAGACAAAGAATACTTCAAGGAGGCACACGGAGAAAGACAAAGTATGCCCCAAGGAAGCACATGGTCTCAGCTCTATAAGCAACAGAAAGGGGCCAGAATATCTACAAAAGGCCAAAAAGGCCATCAAAAAGAGAGAGAACCTAGAGGGGCAAAAGGGGCAAAAGGGGGAGCCTAGAAAGACAAAAAGGGGGAGAACCCAGAAGGAAAAAGGACCCCCAGAGATGGGAATATCTGCCTTATATTTGGGCCATGATGGGTGGTTCCAAAGGTATTCCTAGATGATTGGCAAGTGAGGTCATCTTAACTGACACTTGATTGACACTAGGCAATAACTGCCTAGTTCACATGTGCAGACCCAGAATTCTACTACCATTGTGGTGTTCTTTGGGCAGTCTCTAGGCTAGGCCCTTTTTCCTTTGTTTCCCCTTATCACTCGTGTCTGACCAGCTACCTAACATTGGTATGCTTGTTAGTCCTTTAGAAGTTTTTGTTGTTTTTATTTTGGGTTCCTTATTGGAAAATAGTCTATCTGCTTTGTTTCCATTCTTTGAAATTTTTAACTTTTTAATGTTTTTAAGCTTTTAATGTTTCTTTGGTCCTTCCTTTTTCTTTCCTTCATTTCTTTTATTCATATAATTGTTTATTTCTATGTGAATAAAGTTATATGTATGTGTTTTAAATGACATGAGTTTTAGGAATACAACCTAGAAGTTTATATTTAGTCAATTTTGGCCCTTTGTCTAATTCTTTAATATTGTATTTAAGAGATTCTTCAATGATCAGAGAACATACACTCTTACTCTAGGGATAGATAAGGTTTAACTTCAATTCATTTGTCAACAATCAGCTGACTTGACAGTTGTAAAGTAAAATTTTCAGTATAAATATCAATCTAGTTTTCCCTGGTTCTGTATTAGAAAATCAGGAGACTTGGGTTTTTGTAAAATTACCTTTTTTCGGTTTAACACTAAGCTGTAAGCAGTTTTATTTTTCTCTGCCTTGAAAATCAAGTGATGCAACCTTTGTTCCTATTAACTTGACAAGGTATTCTGAAATATAATTATCAAAGTGAATAATTTTACAAAAGCAGGCCCATTTATTTGTACAATCTGTATTAGTGCTATGCTCATTCAGTTAGGACTCAAATGCCTAACAGAGGTTAAATAGCTCTTCTGATGGTATTGTTTAGATCTAAGCATCATTATTGAGTTTTAGTCTTGTAATCCTACCAAGTCCATATAATTGGGGCATATAAAGGTACTTTGCATACCTGTCTTATTTACCTTATGGAAAACTAGGAAGAAGCTGGAAACTAGAGAATTAGATTCTAGAACATAGTGATTTATAATATTGATGAGCTAAAAGAACTCAGGTCTAGTTCCAGCTCTTTGATGACGTGGTTGTGTGATTTTTCAACAAGTTACCAATCCCCTGTGGGTCCTTAATTTCCTAATCTCCAACAAGTGGGGATGGAACAAAAAATTTAGCTAGGGTATCTTTTGTTTTTCTCAAAATTAATCTTAAATAGAAATCCAAATGTAAACAAGACCAAGAAAAGCCCCTCCAGATTGCTTTGGGGTGATGAAAACAGGAGCCTCTTCCTTAAGCCACTTGAATTTCTCTACATGTCATAATTTGAAAGTCATTGGGTTAGATAAGGGCACTTCCAGTTGTAAATGTATTGAAGTCTATCTTGCAGCAGAAATAATCTGTTATTTTCAGTAGGGAAATCAAAAACTTTAATACTACCCCCCTCCCCCCGCCCCCCGCCACACACAATTTTTCTCTTCAGCCAAGTGTATAATACATTGTAGTTTGGTATTTGGTCATTCTGATCGAGAGGATGTTTACTTGGGGCTTTCATAAAAGTGAAGAGAGGACTAGCACCCAGTAATTTAACAGTTTCAAAAGTCATCATAGTATAAACTTACGTACAGGTTAGATGGCTCTTAAAACTTTATCAATGACGAAAAGCAGGCATTATGGACTTTCTAATATAGCAATCATTTATTTCCATACTTGACTTTTGGTATTTTATATAAAGATATGTTTGCTTATACATTTGCTTATTTAACTTGCACTGTTTGTCCCTTAGGCTGAATCAAGGCCAGCTTCTTGAAAAAGGAGAAGAAGTTTTAAGGCTTCCCCCTTTCACATACAAATGGTTATTATATGCCCCCAAAAGCAAGGAAGCTAGAAAAATCAAGGGCAGCTCTGCCAAGACTAAGCTTTGCCTCAGACTGTGTGGGGGTAAAACTTTTATATCTTAGAAGACAAAATGAGATAATAAAGCGTTTAGCATTTCAGGCAAGTTAAGGAGTTGCACAATATTCTAGCTTTAAAGAGGATCCCTTGATTTTCTTGGTAATTCTGTGAATTCTCAGGACATTTGACACTTTTCTTAACTATGATTTATATTGAAAATCTATATGGCTGTGTGAAATAAGTCTGACAGAGAATCTAAGAAAGCCGAACTCACAGAAACAGAGACTAGAATGGTGTTTGCTGCCAGGGGCTAGGGGCTAGGGAGAATGGAGAGATGTTGGTCAAAGAGTACAAATTTCCTGATGTAAGGTGAATAAGTTCTGAAGATTTAATATACGGCATGGTGATGATAGTTAATGATACTGTATTACGTACTAGAAAGTTCCTAAGAGAGTAGATCTTAAATATTCTTATCACACAAAAAAGAAACGACAATTATGCGATGTGATGCAGGTGTTAGCTAACACTGTCGTGGTTATCATTTTGTAATATATAAGTATTTCACATCAACACATTGTACACTTTAAACAATGTTACGTGTCAATTATTTCTCAATTAAGCTGAAAAAATAAAATTGAGGAATTTGCTTAAAAAGTCAATATGATTTAAATGACTTGATACCCAAGCCCTAATTTAGAACCTCAAGTCAGGCTTACCTCATATTCCGCCCACCCCACAAACATTAGAAAATTGAGAAGTAATGAAAAATCCATACTGATCCTCTTTATACTACATACAGTTTACTTGGGATAAACTTTCAGATCCATATGCTGTGTATTGTTTTCTTGAATTTACATGTTGACAATGCATGATATAAAATATTTCAGATCCTTCAGAAAAACTTTGCAGCCTAACCTTGGAAGAGCCACCAGTCTTCAACAAGCATTCGTTGAACATAAGTCAAACTACCCTTAAGACCTTACATGTAGAAGACCCCTGTGGAATTGAGGAACTGAGGTAGGTAAGCCTACTTATATGAAAAGATAGTGCATAGTAACAATTTTAAGAAGTCCTATCTAGTTCTCTTTATTATATATTGTCCTCATTGTATACTTTATATGGCTATTCTTTTTAAAATGTTTGAGTCCTTCGTTGATCTATTATCAGGATTTAGCAGAGCGCTTATAAAGGTGTTACTTTATTGTGAAGAGATAATTCTCTGCTACAAAACAAACATGGGTCAAAAATGAAAAAAAAGAACATTAGAAATTTAATAATCTCTCAACATTTCTTCTTATATTGAAAAACAATTGCCTTACTTCCATTAATTGACCTAATAAATTCTGGTACATTACATTAATGTGAATAAAGTTTTTAGAATAGAATATTGAGAAGCTTCTTTTTTGAAATCTAGTCCAGGCTGTTAATTATAACATATTTTAATATGTTATCATTTCATCCTTTCTTCACATAAGGTAAGAACATTAAGACATAGTGATTAATTTATAAGGAACATAGGTTATACTAGTAAATGCTTAAGAAACATAGTTTATCGCGCCACTCTATTCTTGACATACTGGAATTCCTTGAAAAAGGAGGAAGGTTTTTCTAGAAAAACTAAGAAAATGTAAAATAACACCTTCTTGAATTGTAAATTCCTTTGATTGGTTTGACATCTAATGTTGCAGTAAAAGGGAGTCAAGATCTGTTACTGTGCCTTTCTGAAAGAGGAGAGCACTTAGCTGTGGCTCTTGGATTTTGCATTTCTAACATCACTTAACCTTTTTTTTTTTTTAAAGGGATCAATGTAAAGTTGCTATTTTCCCCCTAAAGTCATTAAAAGCAAAGTAACACCACATAGTATCACCATCATTTCATAAGAGAAAGGACATTTAATACTAAACATGTAAGGGGAAAGTAGTAAAAGAATAAAACATAGTTCTTTAAAAATATCATAAAAAAGTCATTACCTTGTTCTTATTTTCTCTTCTTTTCTTGGACCATTTAAAATTTTTAAATCACATATCTGCACTGGTCCATAGATCAGGGGTTAGGCACTGCTGATTTAGCCCGTATTGGGCATAACGAAGAATCCAAAGAACAGTTATATCCACCACAGGGTGAAGTGTTTTACATTATTTAGTGCATACATAGGCTGGCCATCTAGATATCTTAGACCAAAAAGTCTGAATTGTGCAGGCTCCTCTATGTTACCTCACCCTACCTCTTTTTTCAAACCTCAGACACCTACACACTAGACCCTCCAACACAGCTTCCTTTCCACAATAAAATGCAACAAAATAAAATAACTAAATAATTGTTGTCATTAATTTTGGTTTTGGCATATCTTGACTGGCTATCCACATAGTCCTAATTTACTGTACACAAAAGAGGTGATTTATCTGGCAGTCTATTCATTGAGATTCTATTAAACAGCCAATGTAATGATGAATATCCTTAATGATGACCCTGAGGCTCTGCAAGTTTCTGAAGTGCCTTCTGAATCATCAGTGAAAGACAGAACCGGAGACCATAAAACCTTTTCTCCTTGGTACCACTGTGGCTTTATTTCTTGGGAGAGGGAGAATGATGAGAATTTCTCATTAAAAGGAGGCTTGGTTATTGGGCACATTGAAAATTACAGCCCTATTCTGAGACATACCCCTCTCATCTGCCTGCCTCTGGTGATTTCGACGCATATAGTATTGATCAGAAGATAGATGAAGAGTTGAAACCTGGTTCTGTATATTGTATATTGATCTTTTAATGTATTTCCAGCTCTTCTGAAAAAGATACTGAAATTCAGTCTTTGCTGACACTTTCTGAGAGCAGCACAGACGAGGAGGAAGAAGATTTTCTTGACAAGCAACATGTCATCACACTACCATGGTCACAGAGTACCTAGGAATCATTTGTTCATTGCTTTTTCCGTTTTGTACCTAGAGTAAACAGAAAAAAGTAACAACTGTAAGAATGAATCAAGTAATTACTTGGCCAGGTGATGGAAATTTTCATTATTAATGCCTCTGATATTTCAAGGTTTGCAGACTAATAAAAGTTAGTAAAATTATGAGTATAAGGGCTTTTTCTTCTAAATGATATATTGTATGTCAAACACTAGTCTATATTGCAGACCATATAAGTAAAATTTGGTGAATTTAAAAAAATAGAAATTATAACTCTGTCTCTAGAAACTGTCATAGGTTCTATAAACATGATTATACTTAAAGTAATATTTAATTGTTAAATTATATTTTAAATAATTATGTCATCAATAAGATGTATATTGGATGGCCAACTCATACTTGGCAATATCATTAATTGCACCTGGAATCTATTTTTTTCTTTGGTAATTACATTATTTTTTTCTTTTAGTGTTTTGACATTTGTAGAAGTTCTGATAACTTCAAAAGTTGCTGCTAGAAGAAAGAGGACTCAAAATAAAGCAGACATAATACTTACTCTCTGTTCTAGTAAAACACAGAAAAGACCCCCAAAGCATCTTATTTTGAGTGGGTGGGTGTGATGGTTAATGTTATGTGTCAACTTGGCTAGGCTATGGTACCCAGATATTTAATCAAACGTTATTCTAGTTGTTTCTGCAAAAGAAGTTTTTAGATGAAAATAACATTTAAACTAATAGACTTTGAGTCAAGCAGATTCCCCTTCATAATGTGAACGAGTCTCATCCAATTAGTTTGAAAGCCTTAGGAAAAAAAGACTGAGGTCCTCCAAAGAAGAGGAAATTCTGCCTTCACACTGCGTTTTGGCTCAAATTGTGGCATCAACCCTTTCCTGGGTCTCCAGACTGCCAGCTTGCCATGTAGATTTTGGACTTACTAGCCTTCACTTGAAGGATTGTTGTGTGTTAGCCAAAGAAAATAACAGATACAAATTATTTTGCTAGTCTTGGGTAGTGGTAGATCCTAGAGTGTTCAAGGTTTTACATGATCTTATAATTCAGGGGCTTAAAAAAGGACAGAAGAAGACATAGAGGAGATAGTTTTATGGATGTCATCTTGTGACTTCTTAGGACAGTTTCCCCTTAAGTAGTTTGTTGACTTATTAGAAAAAACATCCCTGCTGATTGGTTTGCCATTACCACAGTATAGTCGTATCTCAGGGTTCAAATCTTTTGTTTTTTCTCTGATTCTGGATGGTCACTAAGCTCTTATACAAGATAAATGGCTGTTTAGTGTAAATTTATCTTTGATACTTTTTCCCTGGCATCAATAAATTGTACTGGCATTCACACACATCAGCAACTGACAGGATAGAAAATGAAGAGAACTGTAGCCATTTCTATGTCTTTTAATATAAAAATGCCCTTTATTAAAAGTGATTAACAAAAATGAACAATAAACAATCAGGAAAGCCAATTATACTATCAGAATAAAATTTTTGAAAGAAATGAGTATCTTAAAATTAAGAGTGTGACTCCTCAGTAATTTTCACTGTCCTCAGCACTTCCTCTTATCAACAATCCCATAGAGAACAGTGAGTCATCCTTGAATCTTCATCATTTTTCTCAAAAGCCCTTCTGGCATTTTGTCCTGAGGCTGCTAGCTTTCTGAATTTTAGTATCTATAGTTAAAATGGGGATTGCCTGTTCATCTGTTAAGATAGGAAAATAAGTTCTTTTTCGTTTTAGCATGTCTACTCAGGTTTAATGTTCTTGACTCTCCCTACTCTCCTTTGCTTTAAGACAAGATCTTCCTCATATTTCTGATGAAGAAGAAAAATGTTCCTCTGTGTGCAATTTATAAAACTCCTGTGTTTTCCTCAGACAAAGCGAAAGGAGACATTGTTCTACTCTCATTAAGGATGTAGAACCACTACTATTCTGTCTACTCAGTCATAGCTTGAGTCTTTTATGAACTAGCTCAGGAAAGATTTTTTAAGATTCCATTGCCTTTTACAATACAAGAATTTGGAAATAAAAATTAAGCCAATAACTAGTTGTCATCAGTGCATTTCTGGCCAGAATTTGAGATGAGGAGTGTACCACTGACTTTGTCATTGGACTCCCAATATGTGATTGAAATTAAACATGAGGGTCCTCTGTGGCAGAGCATATCAGACTCCCTTCTGCCTTTATTTGCTTCCTATAACCACACATTTAGAAAAGTTTCTTAATTCCCTTGTCATTAGTCTAATGAGGAAATAAAAACTAAATAAGATTAGAGCCTTTGCCTGAAGCAGTAGCAATGTGTTCTCTCATTTTGAAGCTGAACATGCTGTTTAAAGCATGTACTTAGTTCTGACTGTGGGATTGAGTTACAGGCATTCCAGAAGAATCACAACCATATTCCTAATACTTGAATTAGTGCATGTGCCTCATGCAACTATTAGGCAAATGATCATGTGATTTTACATGCATGTTAGGATTTAGTAGTTTATATCAGACTTGCTTAGTGGTATAATAGCCATGTGAAATTCTTTAATTTTACAATTAAAGTACAATTGAAGTACAATTGATGTAAACAAATTGACATTAAATTATATTTGATAGTTTTAATATGATATTTGATTTTTGTTGAAGTCATTCACACCTAGTGCGTTAAGAGCGTGTCACACAACACAAGCCCGTGGAGTACACTACCCTTAAGACCACTTAATGCTGTGCCTTATCTGTGAGGTAGACATAAACCTTTTCTTGAACAAACAGATGTTACAACTTGTTTCTATCTCTGTAATCAGGCACTCATATTTTAAACAATGCCTTGAGTCAGAAAAAAAGTTTTCTTTGTCCCTATGATTCAATCGTTGGAAAGATCTTGAAGAAGGCTTATCTTACCATGATGTTAGCCACATACAATTTCTTATCTCTAAGGTCTAAAACTGTACCTACTCAATGAGATTTTCTAATTTCTATCTAAATCAATTCTCCCTATTCCTTTTCCTTTATTCTTTCTTATAGCATCCTACTTTTTTCTTTATGATACCTATAATTATTAACTTATTTGTATAATTTTTAATGTATGTTTTCCAGTTAGACTATACATTTCAATAAAGCATGGATTATGCCCATTTTGTTTACTACTATACACCAGCTTATTACTAGCTTATGCCTAGCATAGACTAGATGGTTATTAGTAATGAATGAATGACTGTGCAGGATCCAACTGATAAGCCATCTCTATCCCTAACTTTTCTCAAGGGGAGACAGTATGATACATGTAGTGGGAGAAACACAGGTTATCAGGTTACACTATTGACTAGCTTCCAGATCACTTATTTGAATGTTTCTTAATCATTCAATGGAGATAAAGATACTAACTTTACTTAGCTTAAATGAATGTTGTGAAAATCAAATGCAGTAATGAATATGAGAACACTTTGGGAACTAGAAAGTGCTCTGCCATGTTCATCATCTCTTTTTATGAGTTTAGGCTACAGTCATTAAATACACAGACAAATTAATGGATGGATCAATTACCGAATTTAGGATCAAGTTGACAAATGATCCACAAAAGTCATTCAATATCAAAAATAAAGAATGCTGTCAGTGAGTTGGACAATTAGATTGAATGATGTATAAAGCTAACATGTCGAAAGCTAAATATCTAAATTTATTAAAAATATTTTTGAAACATTATTCCTTATGTTTATAGATTTTTTTTGTAAAGGAAAAAGTTTTCCTTTTTTTTAAAATTAAAAATGTTTTTTAAAATTTATTTATTTAAATTAGTTTCAATTATACAGTATATTGGTTAGACATCTATATAGTTCATAAAATGATCCCCCCCAAATTGTTCCCTTCCACCCCTGGCCCTCTACCTAGCCAACGTATTATACTAACTGCCCCATTCTCCCAGCCCCCCAACCCCTCTCCCCTCTGTCCGTATGATTCACTTACATGTGTAATCTAAGGAACAAAAAGAACAAACTAATCAAAAACAGACTCACAAATATTGTGGACAATTTGGTGACAGATAATTTTTTTTTAATGGTGACATTAATGAAATCCAGCAAGTTTCAGGTGTAAAATTTAACAGTAAGGCATATATATATGTGTGTGTGTGTGTGTGTGTGTGTGTATATATTATATATATATTACCCCATCTACCCAGCCCCCTCTGGTAACCGCTAGTCTATAGTCCATGTCCATGAGTCTCTGTTTGTCCTGTTTGTTTTTTGCTTTATGTTTATATCACTTATATCTTTATATCTAACATATAAGTGATATCACGTGGTTTACAACTTTTTCTGTCTGGCTTATTTCACTAAGCATGATTATCTTGGGGTCCATCTATGTTGTTGCAAATGGTGGTATTTCATCTCTTCTTATGACTAATATTCCATTGTATATATGTACCACACCTTCTTTAGCCAATCATCTGTTGTAGGACACTTTGGTTGCTTCCATGTCCTGGCCACCATGAATAATGCTGCTATGAACATTGGTATGCAAATATCTTTTTGGATATGAGTTTTCAAGTCTTTGGGGTAAATACCCAGTAGAGGGATTGCTGGATCATATAATAGATCAATTCTTAGTTTTTTGAGGGACCTCCATTCTGTTTTCCATAGTGGCTGTACCGATTTGCAGTCCCACCAGCAGTATATGAGGGTTCTTTTTCCTCTGCATCCTCTCCAACATTTGTTATTATTTGTCCTGTTAATAACAGCTATTCTAACAGGTGTGAGATGGTATCTCATTATGTTTTTGATTTGCATTTCTCTAATAGCTAGAGATGATGAGCATCTTTTCATATGTTTGTTGGCCATTTGTATGTCTTCTTGGGAGAAGTGTTTGTTCAGGTCCTCTACCCATTTTTTGATTGGATTTTTGTTGTTGTTGTTGTTGTTGTTATTGAGTTGTATGAGTTCTTCGTATATTTTGGATATTAGGCCCTTATCAGAGGCATTGCTTGCAAAAATATTCTCCCATTCAGATAGTTG